TTCCCTTTTTAATGCTTTTTCTCTGCTTTGTGATAATAAATAAGGACCCCCAGACTTTGTGTCAAGCCTCTTCATTCCTTGCATCAAGACCCACTCTTCTGGTGACACTTAACACCTTAAAAAACACTTACATATGTCAGGCAGTGCCTGTGGCTCAAAGGGGTAGGGCACCAGCCCCATATACTGGAGGTGGCAGGTTCAAACCCAGCCCCAGCCAAAAACTGCAAAAAACCCCCCTAATAAACCCCCACTACATATGTTACCAAGTAGAGGCCTATGTACTTTCTTCAGCAATCTTTTAAAGATTATGACAAATTGTATTCAGAAGTAAACTTTAAAATAGTAAGCACTAAAAATGGGTATATTCCATAAAAACTGCTAGACAAACAAAGTCTGGCATATTTGGGCCCTGTTTATCTCAAATTATGATTAATGTACTACCACTGTATTTTTTGGAAAAGAATAAGAAAAGGTAACCTAATTAAGATTATGGCTTAGAGAATATACCTGTTCAAAGAATGGTTTTTTGGCAGAAAAGGCTATCTAATAAAGGTTAAGGTTCAGGGTCTCTTCCATCTTTGAAATACCTATCTGCCTATTCCTTAGGCATAACAAATACGAAATTTTTTTTTGCAGTTTTTGGCTGGGGCTGGGTTTGAACCCGCCACCTCTGGTATATGGGGCCAGTGCCCTACTACTCCTTTGAGCCACAGGCACTGCCCAACAAATATAATTATGTAAACAAAATAATGCATTCTTGTTAGCATACAAGAGATTATATTTATAAATCTTTATGTGGATTTGTATATGCATAATGCTATAACTGGGTTATTTCTCTAGTGGTGAAGATTTGTTAGAATCCTAAATGATACACTCAGTTTTTCTGTTTTTTTGAGACAGTCTCACTCTGTCAACCTGGGTAGAAAGCAGTGGCATCATAGCTCACAGCAACCTCAAACTCTTGGACTCAAGCTATATTCTTGTCTCAGCTTCTGGAGTAGCTGGGACTGACTACAGGTACCCACCACAAAGCAAAGCTCATTTTCCTATTTTTAGTAGAGACCAAGTCTTGCTGTTGCTCAGGCTGGTCTTAAATTCCTGAGCTCAAGGGATCTACCTGCCTTGGCCTCCCAGAGTATCGGGATTACAGGTGTGAGCCACCTAGTCCAATGATACACTCAATTTTTTGTTAAGTCAGTAAACAATCTATAACAACTTCTATGATATTTTCCTTTTGCTTACCTTGATAAGGTATCTGGTAATATCCCTCCCAGCAATATCCAGTCTCCTGGTAAGGTGAGGGAGAGAAAAGCCTTCATAAACTGGGCAGATGTGAGTTACACCGTCCCCAGAGTCTACCACTACACCAGTCAATAAACCTGCATAAAAATGAGATTTTTTTGTTAAAAAGTCAGATTAGAAAAATCAAAGGCAGCAAGTTGCAAATATAGTATAGAAGCCAAAAAAGAAACTTAACCAACTGGAAACATCTGGAAGCCAGAATTTATTATTTACTGTTTTGCAGTTTGTTTTTAATATATAGATATTAAAGTGAGCATTCTCTTTTCAGACTTTTAAACCTAATCACATGATACCCCAAGGAGATGAGAAGGAACAGACCCAGAGACCTAGGACTGAAAATCTGAGCAACTTCTAAAGGCTTGTCTTTTTTTTGCAGTTTTTGGCCAGGGCTGGGTTTGAACCCGCCACCTCTGGCATATGGGGCCGGTGCCCCACTCCTTTGAGCCACAGGTGCCACCCTGTACAAGTCCTTTTCTTTCCAACTTGATCACTGACTTCCCTGAAAGTGAAATTTTCTAAGGCATCATAAATAAAATTTTTTTTTGAAAAACACGGTGAGG